ACAGGGCGTGCTTCAAAGGGCATTAGGACAATCCACGTGCTGCCCAAGGTTTGCGAGACTGTCCGCTGGAAAGGAGCAGCTAGGACCTTTACACAGTCCTTGTCTGGATGGCGGCGAATGAACCTTGTGGCTTCTAGTCATAAGACATCAAGCGTGACCGGCTCCCTGGCCCCCGGCAGGGGTGGGGCCATTCCCCGGCGGAATCACACCTGTTTACTGGCTCCCAAGCACAGGCGGGTCTGTGGCTGCAACCGGAAGGCCCACGGGAAACAGGAAAACTAAGGACAGAGGCAGCCTCTTCTCTCTGTGCAGGGTGGGGAGGAGCCCCGCCACCCACTCGCCGGGTGAGGGAGACCCCCCCAGCCAACCTTTTCTGGCCTGTCCACCCCTGATGCCTGACCACGTCTGGCAGAGCGGCCTCCACTCCAGACTCAGGGCCTGGTGCCCTCCCAGGGGGGCGTTAGCAGTGACGGATCCCCAGGCCCACAGCCTGGAGGGAAGGCACAGGTCCTCCAGGCTCAGAGCCCACGACGCCCCCACGGCGGCTGCGCGCAGAGTGAAACTGGAAGGACAAACAGAGCAACAGACCAGCGGGTCCCCTGTGGGAGGCGTCAGAGCCCACCTGGTGTGATACACCACTACTCACGCCCATGTGGTCTTGAGCAAGTCATGGGCCTCAGTTTCTCCACCGGGAACAGAGTACTGGCATCTGACTGTGAAGGGTAACACAGGCCACATCCCCAAAGCCTAGTGCGCCACAGGCCCTAGACAGACGGTGGTCAGGATCGGTCACAGAGCCCAAAGGTCACTGCCAAAGGGGTCTTATCTGCCTTAGGACGGGAGGGGGGACGGGGGCTGTGTCAGCCACTTTGAGGTGGTGGCCTCGCCCGTCCTTCCCTTGGGCTCTGCCCCAGCTGCACAGGGCTACCTCGGCCAAGGTAGAGGCCAGGGCGTCCCACACCTAATGACCAACTGGCGCGGGGGGTCGGGGGAGAGTGTGAAGGCCTGGATAGCTCCCCCAAACTCAGGACGTTTCTGAAGGGCTTCTGCAGCGCTTCTGCAGCTCTGTGCTCCCTGCGGGGTGGGCCCAGGCCCGTGAGGCCTGCACTGCGGCTGGAGCCCTCCTCTGCCCGTGTCCTTCCCCTCCTCCCCAGGGCTCCCCCGTGGGAGCCCCCTGCACGCTCCAATGTCTGAATCTGCTTCCCGGGAAACCCAGGCCGTCACAGGTGGCTTCTTTGTATCCTTTTTCCTTCGGAAGGGAGGCGGGAACCCCTGTGAGGAAGACAGTGGATGCCGTGGAGGAAAAGGCCAGGAAAGAGTCAACAAAAGCACGGTGACCTCTTCCCTTCCTCTGCAGTGTAAAGAGCGGTGTTAAAGCAGGAGCCGCACAGGGCACTGGGCAAAGCAGCAACACTCACCAAGCAGCATCCAGAATCTGTCCTGGCCTCTTTCCTCACAGGCACAAAGACACAAAGAGGCCACAGAGGAGGAACAGCAAAGAAAAGGGAGGCGGGGGGAGAAGGAGCCCCTGGGACCACATGGTACCAACCCCACAAAGATGGCCAAGGAAAGTGCCAGAAGCGTCCTTGGAGACAAGCAAGTCAGTTACCGGAAACTGAGGTGTCTTCAGACCTAAGGGTCCTCAAAGGCAAGAGCAGGGATCCAGAAGCTCTTCCCACAGTGGAAACACCGACAGGAAGGAACACCTCCGTTCACCCCAGGAAGGGGCCCATGTAACCAGCCCAAACAACGCCTTTGCTTGGCTCCTGGCTAGACCTATGTCAACCCCGATGGTCATGGTTACCTTACCCTGCCTCTTGCAGGCAAGAGCCCTGTAGCCATAGATACTCTTCTATTTGGAAGTAAAATCTCCTCCTGATTCAAGAAACGCAGGGTGTTGGGCAGACACGATCTTTCAAAGAACACCAGATCTAGGGAAGGGAAGGCCTCCATGTGGGGAGCCCTTCAGCAAGGCTGGACGCTTCGCACCACAGATGGGGAGGGGGGGAAACCTAGAAACAGGAGGTCCCCCAGCAGGGTGAGGCCAAGAATTGACCACCAGAGGCTCCGATGAGAGACTTCCTCCTTGGCCACACAGCTGGCCACGGAAGTGCCAATAGAGACTCGGCTGCCAAAGCAGGCGTGAGGCAAGTGCTCTCCTGTGTGCGGGGTAGCGAGGGCCCCGGACCAACTCTGCAGACAGCAACTAGAAAGGGCAATAAGCCGGGACACACCATCCCACCCCTGGGGGTTCCTCCTACAGCTGGGCTTGTACCCTGTGGACAGGCCCTTCTCAAGGGCTACCGTGACCGCTGTTTCTGTGACCCAGGGCACAGCCACGCAGCGGTCACACTGAACCTGCTCAACACACACAGACACGCAGCAGTGGCCCAGACACCCCGTTCCATGGCAGAGGCAAAGAGCAGGTGGATGGCATGGAGCGTGGAGACTCACACACACACACATACACACACACACACACGTACGTACATTCATTACACCCGGGGCACTGGACTAGGAACCCAGGCTTCGGGAAGGACACTCACTGTTCACTGCGCAGGTTTTGTGTGTGTGTGAGTGTGTGTGTGTGTGGTCTTTGGAGTTTTCTATACATGAAGGTCATGCGTAGGCAAAAAATAAAATATGACTCCATTTACATGATCTACCCAGAATGGGTAAATCCACAGAGACAGAGCACATATGGGTGGCTTCCAGAAGGAGGGAGAATGGGGAGTGACTGCTTTTTATGGGTATGGGGTTTCCTTTCAGGGTGACAAAAATGTTTTGAGACTATTGGAGTTGGTGTTTGTAAAACGCTGAATGTACTAAATGCCACTGAACTGTTTACTTTAAAATGGCTAATTACGTGGTGTGGGATGTTCATCTCAATTAAAAATAAAAACCAAATCCACAAAAATAAATAAATACAGACACGAAACAGCTTTCCGCATCTGTGCTTGGGAGGCAGCATGGCGATGCTGGTTAGGGGCATGGGCACAGTGTCTGAACTGGGGGGCTCCAATGCACAGCTATGCCCAACACCACCACCTGGGAGGCCTGGGTTAAGTGATCTGACTTCCCCAGGCTTTATTGTCCTAGTCGGTGAAACGGGTCTAATGATAGAACCTGCTTCCCAGGGTTGTTGCAACTAGTAAATTAAATGGTAGAAGGTAATTGCCCAGCGTGGGACCAGGCGTAGACCGGCCCCAGGGCCTTTGCCCCTGCTGTCTGCCCACCCAGAACGCCCTCCCCCAGGGCAGATGTTGCCTCCTCCAGGCTTTTCCTCCAATGCCACCTTCCTGATGGGGCGCTCCCTGATCCCCTGACTTAAAACCCGAAACCTCTCTGCCAACACCCACCCGGAGGCTCCACCCCCTTCTCCACCTGTATCTCTCCCCAGGATTTGATTATTTATCTGATCCACCTGCCGTCTCCTTCCACTGCCCTGTCTGTCCTGTTCTGTCTGTGTGCCAAGGCCTTGAACAGGGCACAGAGCCCAAGGCAGGTGCTCAATAAACACATGTTGAATGAATGGTGTTAGCAAACACCTCCGCCCTGATCCCCTGTGTGAGCCTGCCTCCCCGACAGAGGAAAATGGCTGTTTTGTTGTTTAATCAGCCCAGAATTAAAAATTAAGCACCAGTTTGCTGTTGAAAGTCACAATATTCCCAGTAAGCGTTATTCGCCAAGGGGGGACATCTGCAAAGGGAAAGAGACAGAGAGCAGCCAGACGGTGCCGTATGCTCAGAAACATAAGCCAACGAGGTCACCCCAACCTCCCAGCGCCCTTTGTGCCGTGAGAGCTGGTCCCATGAGGCTTCAGGAGGATACGGACCACCGTGTGGCCATGCTCGCCCAGGACCCCGTCCCTCCCAGCCCCTCAGGCCATAGCCATTCGCAGAGAACTGACCGCCATAGGCCTTCCCCAGCCCTGCCCTCCTAGGCGGGTGGGGGCGGCAGCAGGCACCCTCCTGGGACTCAGCTTCCCAAGGGCCTCAGGCCTCAGAGTGGGGAGATCGTGTCCCCAATTCCCCAGAGTTCAAAAATGGGGGGGGGGGACAAAAACCCTCAGACTCTGCTAAAAATAGGCTTTCTAGTTCATTCTCCTATGAGACCACAACATTGTGACTCCACAGAGCAAGAGAGCCACTTTCTCGTGGCTTCCAAACCCGGACAGGGCAAAAGAAAAAGCTGAAGCTAGCAGTTGCCAAAGTTCGAGGTTCAAAAAAGACTAAAACAAGACACCGAAATGGTGAGTAAAACCAGCAAGGAAGCCCCTCCCAACCCACCAGGTGCCGGGGCTGTGTGTGTCACCTGGCTGGGGGCTGGAACCCAGGCTGAGGGCTGAGTTCTTCGGAGACACCTGGTCCACAGGTTTGAAATTTCCGGGAGTCAACACATCATTTGCTTTCTAACCAGTTCGTGGGTGAAGGGATGCTGCTGGTCTTGAGACTACACTTTGAGAACCACTATTGCTCGAGAACAAAGCCTTCCACGTTAATCTTGCAACGGCACACATAACCTCCAGACACACACACACACACCCCTGCCCAAACACGGGTCCTCAAACAGCCAGACCCACCTGGCCCAGCCACCAGTGGATGGAACCCAGAGGAGTGCCTGGACCCCAGAAGCTGCTCCCATTCAAGTTCCTGCACAAGCCCGTCCCCGAGAGAGGCTCTGGGGCACACCAGAAACCCCTGAAACCTGAAGGCACAGCATTTCCCTTTTTGGAGAGCCATCAGGAGCCATCCTGCCCCGCCCCCGCCCACCTGCACGTGGGTAACTCCCAGCTGCAAGATCCGCTTTCAACTCAGGGATGCTTTCAAGTTTCTGAATCTGAAGCAGCCGCCAAAAGAGGAAACCGCACATTTAAAAAAAAAAAAAAAAAGGCGCGGCACTGACGGGCAGCTGCAGCATCCCTGATGGGCAGGGAGCACCTCCCAAAACGCAGGGACCTCGTCACTCATGGTGGGCAACGCCACACGTCTCTCACTCACCAAAATAATCGGCCTTCGGGTGCGCGTCCATTTCTCGCTCCAGACGTTGGGTTAGGGCTTCTAATTTCAATTCGGCAGCGGAGGGCCCGAGCTCGGGGCCTGGGACGAGGGTCTGGCAGGGCAGCCTCACCCTGGGGGGGCTGGGGCTCTCCGGGAGCGCAGGCCCCAGGCTGCCCTCCGACGACCAGCCAGGGGGACCTTCTTTACAAGGTAACTCAGGCGGGGTGGACATCACTGGGTGGACGAGGCTGGTGGGGCTGAGCTTGGGACCAACGCCAGGGTCTGTGCAGACTGGCTTGGGACCCAGCCCAGGGGCCGCACCCGAAGGCATGCTGTCCACGCTGGCTGGTGAGGATGATGAGGCAGAACTAGAAAGGTAAGCTTTGGGTCCGTCTTGGAACCAGACTTGAGGGTCCACCGTAACTTTGGGCATCGGGCCTGAAACCTCGCTGCCCACCCCCGAGTTTGTTCTTGGAAGAGCTCCTTGGCTGGGGCAGCTCTGGGCCAAGGGGGCTAAGAAAGAGGAGGTCCTGGGCGGAGGGGGCCCTACCATGGCCCCATTCTCTGGGCCTGGGGAAGAAAGGCCAGGGCTCACCCGAGGGGAGGAGGAGGTAGTCCAAAGCCCAGCCGGCTTCTCGTCACCGCGGCCACCAGCACCATCCTGGCTGCTCTCAAATGACCTGCTGGAGCTCAGGGACAGCTGAGGCTGGTACAGGGAATGGTCCCTGGAGGGTTTGGGCAGTGGTGCGTCTGTCCCTGGGGAGCTAGGCCACCCACTCCCTGCGCCCGGCCTGATGCCGGGGGACACTCGGGGTTCATCAGCCCACTTTGGGCTTGCCAAGGAGAGGTTGTCATAATAGTCTCCGTGGGTGAGGCAGGAAGGGTCCTCGCAGGAGCCCAGTGGGCGGAAGCCAGACATCTCCCAGCCTGCCAGGTTTTCCTTGGAGCCGCAGTCCTGGCTGCCGTGACTTGCGCCGCGGGCATATGTTCTGGCCCTCTGCTCCTGGGGTGGGTATAAGGGCTGCCCGGGGGCGACAGAGGCAGCTGTCCCAGGACCCACCATGGAGGCAGCGAGAGGGGGCTTGGCAGCACCATCCACGGTCAGCTTGCTGCTCACACCAGCGTCCCGGCGGGCCTGTGGGCCCGTGGGGGCCCCACCGTTGACTGGGCCCCGGCTCCCCCTGGGCAGGGTCTCCTCCTGCAAGAGCTGTTGCTGCTGCTGGAGGTGGATCTTGGCCATTTTGGTGGCAAACACCCGGCGCGTTTCCTCAAACTCAGGGTTGTTGCCTGCCCCCTTGTCCACTCGGAAGAGTCCATCCTTGGAGGCCTCGTACATGTTCAGATCCTCGATGAATTTACTGGCCTCCAGGCCCAGGTCCCCATACTTATCCATGTCGCAGACGGGTATCAGAGCCCAGCGCAGGTGTCCGGTGTGTGTGGTGGAGGGGGTGGGGGGTTGGTTGCTAAAGACGGGCAGGGGCTCAAGTCCAGCCCAGGACAGGTAAAGCCTTCCACCTGCCCGGCATGAGAGTCATGACCCCAGGCCTCAGAGTCCGGCAGAAGTTGAAGCCTCAAGGCCAGCTGGACTGAGTTTGCTTCCAACTCCCTTTCCCCTCATTGGTGTCCACGTGGGGGCAGCTGGTGGCTCTTCCCTGTCCCAGCCTGCTGTGCGTTCTCTTCTCTTTTTCAAATCGTAAAAGGAAAAATAGGGGGGAAAAAAAATCTGCTCCGTAAGCAATCGAACTCGGAAACCGACGACGCGAGCAGCCGCTGGACGGGGCCGGGGTGCCGCCCGCGGGGCGGAGAAGGAGGAGGCCGCGGGACCCGCCGCAGCAGAGGCGCGGGCGGCGGGACGCTCGGGCTCGTCCCGGGCGCTGGGTGCTCGCGGCTTCGGGGCGGGCGCGGAGAGGGACGCGGAGAGCGGTGCACGGGCCGGCCCGGCCGGGCAGGAAGTCCGATGCAGGCGCGGCGGGCGGCCTATTGTCCGATGGCGGCGGCGGCGGCCCGGCGCGCGCGGGCCGGAGGACGGCGGGACGCGGAAGTGAGCGCGCCGGACGCAGTCCCCGCGGCTCGGTGGCCGGCCGGGCACGTCCCGGGCCTCGAGGAGGCGGAGGCGGGGGAGGCAGCCGAGGGGCGGGGTCGGCGGCGGCGGCGGCGGCGGCGGCGGCGGCGGGCGGGCGCCCCGGGGCGGGCCTGCGCCTGGCCGCGTGGCCCCAACGCCCGCACCCCGGCCGGGCTGGGGGACTCGGGGCCGGCGTTAGCGCTGGCCAGCAGGCATCGCGCGGGGGCTTCCCGTGTCACCGCGGCCCCCGGCGACCCGGGCCCAGCTCCGGTACTTGGGTCGGGCCCCGCCTCTGGCCGCGCTGGGCGGGGTAGCGGGTGGGGAGGTGGCCTCCGCGCTGAGAGCGCTCGCAGGCGGCGGGGGCAGCCTGCGGGGTACGCGACGTGCCACTTGGAGTTTGCGGGAGTCTCGGGGGCCCGTGCTTCTCGCCCCACCGTGCCTCAATTTCCCAGCGTGGGGCAGTCAAACCCGTGTGCCGCCCGGGGCCGCCTCAGCCCGGACGGTGCCATCCTCTCGGCTTGCCGGAGGTGCGCGCTCGGAGGCCCGGGACGTCACCTGGGGCTGGCCCGAAGTTCTAACAGGTGGGCAGACTAAGGCACAGAAGGGGTAGCGTCCGAGATGCCATCGTGGGAGCCCAGGTCCTCTGAAAGGGGGAAAAGGGAAAAGTCACATTGTTCCCCGGAGTGCGCGCGTTTAAGGCTCTCAGTGCAGTAATAAAAACAAGCGCCCCAATGACTCCTTATTCATATGGGGATTCCTGACCCGCCTCCCCAGGTTCGCACGACCGGGGGATGCGGGGCGGGGCGCGGCCCGGGGCGGGGGGGGGGGGGGGGGCTCCGCTGGGCCTGACTCCAGGGCGCCCCCGCATGGCCCCGCGCTCCCTGCACCAACTCCGAGGTGACTCTGGAGAGGTGCCCTTTCGCACAGGGCAGCCAGAGTGATCCTAAGGCAAATACCAGACCAGTCAGTTCCCTGCTTAAACCCTCAATGCTTTCCCGGGCTTAGACTGAAATCAGCTCTCTACCAGAGCCTTCCCCAACCTGATTACATGCAGTGTGTTTGGTGGGTGGGTGGTTTTCCACCTCCTTAGATGGGATCTGTATGCCCAGTGCCTAGTACATAGTAGTACCTGATGGTACTGAGCAAGGAGCCGGAGACAGGACTCGATCCCAGCACCCTGGGATCATGACCTGAGCCGAAGGCAGACGCTTAACCGACTGAGCCACCCAGATGTCCCAATACATAAACTTTTTAAAAAGTTACCCACAATCCCCCTGTTCAGAGATGATGATGATGATGAATTCAGTAATACATAATATTCAATAATCTTTACTTATTAATAACTGGGCGTCCTCATAAGGTGAATGACAGGCATCTGAACTTTCTGGAACAGTGGTTCTCAGAGTAAGGTCCCAGAGCCAGCAGCATCAGCATCCCCTGGAACTGGTCTAAACCTGTGGTTCCCAAACTTGAACATGCATCAGAATTCCTTAGGGAGCTTATTAAACACCTGTTGCTGGGACCTACCACCAGTTTCTGATTCAGTGGTTCTAGGGTGAGGTCTAAGAATTTGCATCTCTACCTAGTTCCCAGGTGATATCGATGAAGGTTCAGGTACCACCATTGAGAACCACTGGTCCAGAGTCCCCATTCCCATGCTTCCTCTCAGTGCACAGAACGGTGAGGGTGTCTATCAGAGTAGAAAGCTGTGGCCCACATTCCCTGACCCTGCGAGTACTGGGATGTAGCTGACAAAGTCCTGGGAGCACAATGCCCATTCCTGTGCGAAGACCAACAAGCTCAGAACCAGGTTCCTGGGTGTTCGGTTCTAACAGCTGGAACCCTGGTATTAGAGCCACAGATACCTGCCAGGGCCTCTTGTAAACCAGTTTTCTCATTTGATGCTAACTTGGCAGCAGCACCTGGGCCCCTAAGCCTTGGTCCCAACCCTCATTTTGCCTTGCCTGGAGGGCTCAGAAGCCATGAGTTTTACTCCCCATCCCCACTGCAGTTCTAGAAGCCACTGAACTCTTTCCACCAAATAATACAGACACCTGAACCTGCCATTTGCATATTTCCTCACCAGACTGGCTTGTCCCCTCTCAGTCCATGGAGTACCTTACACCTTTACAAAGCAGCTTGGAAAAATGGCACCCCATGAGCCTCAAGCCACATAATATACTATACTATTGGGGAGAGGTACTCAGACCTGGCCAGCAGCCCGCTAGATATTTTACCACTGCTGTTTAATATTTAAAAGACAGACGTGTTTTCCCATTCTGTGCCCAACATTTAGAATCCCACCCACGATTATTTCCTGCAGGCCAATTTTGTCTGTTCTGTGTGCTTGGAAACATCTGTTGATTCGAATCTCAAAATATGGGTTCATTCCTTGCGCATCAGTTGTTTAAAAAGCAAAAATACTGAAGAGCTCGGTATTTGCATCGATCCGTAGGCAGAGCGTAGATGATTTTGTTTTCGCGTTTACAGATGTTTTGTTTTGTTGGGTGAGAAATGTTCCATATTCTGTTTTATCAGGACAGCCATTCCAAGGCAGTGATCATTCCCCATGGCCCTGCCTGGAGATCCAAGGGCATGACGAACACGCAGTTTTCCTTTGGTCTTGAAGCTTATTTTCATGAGCACATGGATGTAAAAAGGACCCGCCCTCAGGGTGCCTGGGTGGCTCAGTCAGTGAGGCGTCCCACTCTGGATTTCTGCTCAGGTCATGATCGCAGGGTCGGGAGGTGGAGCCTGGCATCAGGCTCCGTGCTGGACAAGGAACCTACTTGAGGTTCTCTCTCCTTCTGCTCCCTCCTCCCCAAAAAAGTGCCTGCGCATGCACACGCTTGTGAAATGTGGAATTTTCAACTTAACCTGCCCAGAATCTCAGTAAAATCCATCATGTCCTATATCTCCCCAGCTTCAAACCCTCCAGCAGCATGCCGAGTCACCCTGAGACCAAGACCCCCACCTTGACCCCATGTGATGGGGCCTCTTGCCACCTGTGCCTACCTCCTAATCCCCTTCTAGCCCCCCTTCTTCCTCCACTCCAGCCCCACTGGTTTCTCACCATCCTCCGCCCATGCCCTCACCTGGCTTTTGTTCACTCACTGAACAAAAGTTACTGAGCGCCTAGGATACCCCGGGCCCTTTTCCACGTGCTGAGGATATGGCTGTGAACAGAACAGCCAGACATGCCTGTCCTGTCTGGACTTACATCCCAGTGGGACGGGCTGGACAATAAACAAAGCAGATACACGCCTCGTGGGGGACCTGAGCAAGTGAGGAGAGAGGTGGCCAAAGATGAAACCAGGAAGAGGATGGGGAGGAGACGCCATCTTGAATACATGGTCAGGGACGGTCTCGCTGGGCACAGACTTGAAGAGCAAACTGTAGGAGCCTCAGGAGTTTTGTTGGGTAACGTGGAATAGGGGGGAATGCCATCAAGAGAGGCTGCTTTAGAGGGTTTTTTTTTTTTTCCCCAGTATGGGAAATGGTACATGTTTCTCTGCTGATGGGAATGGCCCACTGAGGTAGATGGGAGTTGGGGGAGGAGAATTGCTCTTGGAGGAGAGAGAGAAGGGAATGTTGGGAGGGACATACCTGAGCACCAGAGAGGGCCGGGCTCCACTGCACATTTTGTCCATGGTAACAGAAAGGATGGGGGCAAGAATCAGGTAGGTAGGTACCTAAGATGTATGTTGGAATCTTGGAGTGGTACGTAGCTCTTCTGATTACTCTTAATTTTCTTGGTGATAGAGGAAGTAAGGAGAGTTAGCTGAGAGGGAACGCCAGGGGAGCTGCTGTTGGGAACCGGCCATCTAGAGGAGTAGGAGAGTGAATGGCCTGGAGAAGCATGGAAGCTTCCCTCTCACTCCCAACTCCCACCCTGAGATCCGGGGCATGGATTCCAATGAGGCCAGCCAGCACGGTGGCGTGGTTTTCTCTAGCCCAAGTTCAGTTGCCCAGACGTGGGCGTGAGGTAGGTGAAGAGCTGGGTCCAACCAGGGCGGGCTTCTGCCAAGTGAGTGCGAAATAAACAGCACGGGCAAGACAGTTGCCACTTCTGTCTCCACCCCGCTCCCCTCCCCGATGTCTCATATCCCTGTGATTCCCTGGCTTACAACCCTCACACCTGCCCTCAGGGGTCCCTTCTCCCAAGTTCTTCTCCACTCCCTTTCTCCAGCCCCATCCGCACCTGACACAGCTGTGAACGCCTGTCTCTTCACTAGGGTGCAAACCTCACCGAGCTATGGGTTATTGGCTGTTCTGCTCATTGTTACGTCCCAGGAACCTGGAATGATGCTGGGCACATGCGAGGCCCCCTCCCCCCAGAATGCTTGGTAAATACATCAGAAAAGGGACTACAGGCATCATCGTCGATAGGTGGACAAAATTCATTGGACTTAACCGTGACCCAGATTTGGAGAGACAAAGAGGAGGCCGTATTATTACCCTGGCGACTTTGTGCGTCCCTGCAAACCTTCTATAGAGCTTGTCAATTACCCGGTACAAGTGTTTGATCTGCATCACAGATTCCCTATCTCGCTAGTCAAGAGTATGACTGTTCATAAATGTGTGTGTATTTGAATGCATAAAGGATATTGGATGGAAGAATATCTGTTTGCAAGCATGCATGTTTATTTTTTATATAGGTGAATTGTGGGATAAAGGGCATTCGCAAACCCCTATCCAAGAGACTGCGAGCAGTCAGCGGTGCCCAGCCAGCCTGCGAATTACCAAGGGGCCC